TCCAGTTTTTTAATTAAACGTTGCTGAAACAGCAAGTGTCCCAGTGGATCTGTGGTCGAAAATGCAGCCAATGTGGAGTAGTCAAACACAGATCCACTGATCCTTCAACACAGAGCATCTTCAGAAGACAAGTTGATAAAGAAAATTTTAAAAATCTGTATTGTTTGATACATAGTGTGTATTGAACCTAAAGCACTGTACTGAACAGTTCGATAAGGGTACATGTATTGTTGCACCCCTAATTTATATATATCACCGCATTAACGGTGAAAGTTCTGGGATGAATAATAAATAAATAAAGAGTCCAGTTTAGAGGTGGATAATAATAGGTTGCCAATGTTCATGGAAATTCTAATAAGATAAGTTAAGATAGACCTTTATTGTCACTTTACAGTGCACAATGAAATTACAGTAAATGTATAGCTTTGTCTATATACTTAAAGTGTACTAACTATATTTGAAGATGTTCCATTTTAGTATTTAAAAGTATACTTAATACACTTAAAATTGTGCTTTTGTATAACTTAAATACAACTAAAGTATATTTAGTATTAAATTAGTTGTTCCAAAATAGCACTATTTAAGTATACTGATGATTAGTGTGGCTTAAAGTAACTTAGATTTAGTATACTTAGTATAATATATTTTTCACCTGGGGTTAATGTGTCAGGGTTAAGAATGTTTTTTTTTGTCTTTACTGGTATTTATTGTCTAAAATATGTTTTGCAACTGTAGGCTCTTCCCTATACAGAACTGAGACCAAACCATGCTAAACCATGAATTGTACATTCATTACGCTTCCACATTTCTTATCCCTAAATAAGTGTATGTGTGACACATTTGACACAATATGCAACAAGAACAAATGCAAACAAATCCAAAGTCAAGCTCTAATTAAATGCAGCAAAACATCAACAAATGTGTAGCATGTTCCAAATTGCATATACATTTGTCAGAAATAATAAACCAAATGTTTTGACAGCCTTTTAAAATATATTTATCTGTCTCTTTTGACATTTTGATCTTTTCGTGGAATCTCTCTGGCAGCTCCACTTGCTGCCTCATTAATACATTCAGTTGACAAAAATAAAAAAAGGAGAGCCTTGGAAATTGCAGCTTTCCGCTGTGCTTAAATGTCAATTACATACATGCGGTGAGGTAAGGAGTCACCGTCCCAGCTGTGTTTGCGGCTGAAGTGACAAAACACAAAAACAGATCAGGCAGGCCGGGGCAGGAATCAGCGCTTTAGCCTGCGAGCCATGGAGGTTGCAGACCAAGCACCCCTCAGCTCTGCAGCATGAAATCCAGGGCTGTAGAGGGGGGATTTGGTTTCTTGGACTAAAGCCAAGCAGGGAATTGCTTGACTGGTCATCACTGGCAGCTACACCCAAACTCGGTGATGCTTCCCCTCTTATCTGCCCCTCACCATCATGCTGTTGCAGCTTCTACCTCGTGGTGCATAAGCAATATTTCCACCAGTGTCATCTCCAAACCCTCCCTAGAGATTTATCTGGCTGTTGAAGTAGAAAATGAATATTTTACAGTTCACTTGCCTGATCAATTACCTACAAGCTGTTGCTGTATTTGAGGCTGGTCGGGGGAAAAAAATACTTGTAGGCAGTGATAGAATGGTCCATCGGGAGTCCTTTCCTCTTCCCGGCATTAGCAAAAATCAAAATGAAGGGGGAAAAAAGGGAGATATGAATGAGATCGTCTCTGGTGGACTGCTCAGTTTTGTATGCGCACAGTTCGGGCTTTGTTGCCAAACAAATCACATCTTTGAGTCGATAATTACCGCCAGCTAATTTCAAGATGTTACAGACACACTGGGTTGATTGGACTCGCCAAGTGCTCCTTGATTCAAGGCCAATTTGAATATTTCATAATTAAATATATAATGTTGTCATTGTTCACTGATTAACATCAATCTGCATGTAGCATCTTCAAGCAATTCCCTGTGGATAATACAGTTGTACTTGCAACCAACTGCTTGATGATGTTACTGTTTGTGTGTTATGTTGTAGTTAACTGGATTATTCTCCGCTTTAGCCTGGTGGTTTTAGACTTTTGCTGATTTGACCTTTGGTAGAGAATTTGTTGAACTGTTGGGGCTGCGAAGGCTTTTACGTATATATCTTATATTGATTTGTTATGAGCACAATACTTACTAATTTAGAGTTTTGATAGGAGATACTGTAAATATATTTGATCGTATTTTAAATTTCACACCAGGGGAAAGTAGTTTGTTGTAATTCTAAATTATTCAGGTACTTCTGGTGCATGGATATCAGTTGTTTAGTCTGGCCAAGTTGTGTACTAAACCCAGGATGTAGACACAAAACTCAAAAAAACAAAAAAATAAAACTGGTAGTACAGAAACACTGGAAATGACTAAAGAATGGTAAATGGTACTGAACTTATAGAGCGCTTTTCAAATCCCTCCGGACCCCAAGGCGCTTTACACTAACAGACATTCACCCATTCACACTCACATTCACACACTGATGATGGCAAACTGCACTGTAGTCACAGCTGCCCTGGGGCACACTGACAGAGGTGGGGCTGCCGTGCACCGGCATCACCGGACCCTCTGACCACCATCAGTAGGCAAGGTGGGTAAAGTGTCTTGCCCAAGGACACAATGACTGAGACGGCTGGACGGGGTATCAAACCAGCGACCTTCCAGTTCCAGGACGATTTTTTTTTAAATCAATAATTGCAAAGTTTGTTCAAGCAACAATATAAAGGGAAAGGAGGTAATTTAATTTGTTGCCTTAAATAAACAAAACAAAATACTTTGAGGGGTTAGATGATAATCGGGGACTATCAGGGCCGGATTAACACTTTGCAGTACCCTGGGCAACAATATTCAAGAGCCCCATCATCACGACCCCAGGATTACCAGTCTGGCAACATACAGAGTAAATCATTGCAATATATAATAAATATGCTCAATACTTCAAATTCTAAGTGTATTTTTATGTACAAATGCTCATAGAACTACAAATACACTACTATGTCCTCTTGTCAAGGACACTCTTTCACATGATGCTATGAAAACAAAACACATCAGTATAATCTGGTAAACATGACCCACTACATTGAGATCAAGGGAAGTGTCCTACAATTTCACAAAAGCAACGCTTGACATTAGGCAACCCTCTCAGTCACCTGACCCACCTCATGCTGACTGACCAATGAGGAGAAGATCTCAGCTCATGTTCACAGTGACAGGCAGCCTCTGTGCAGCACAAGAGCTCCAACAGACAGTTTAACAAAAGCAGGAGAAAACCAGATATTTTGCTGGTGCCTTCATTCAAGGGCGTAACAATCATCTCAGAAGAGAGGGAACACATTTTTTAGAGGTCTGTTGAGTGATTTATCATCCTCTCTTATTAAATCACACACCTCTCCTTAGTGGCTAAAACATAATTACTGACAGCCACAGTACAGTTCTACTGACTGACTTTAGTTCTTTAAACTATTTATTAACAAAATCTAAAGTTTTAGCAGCCAAAATGTAGTCAGCTGGAAAACACCATTACTGTAAGCAAGCATAGACTTGAATAAGAACACTACCCATCCTGTCCACTGGTAGTGTCTGTGACAACATGGAGGAGCAGAAATAGACCAAACAGGACAACAGCTCACATCCACTGTAGACACTAAAAGATAAATAACAAGCTGAACTGGATCTGTTTCACAGATTATCTGTCATGTTTTCAAATTAATAATTATGTTAATTTCATTCGACAATCATGTAAAACAGCAGATTTATACCAGAAAAATATRTGATTTATAAATTACAATGATCTAATCCAGATGTGAAGATTAGACTTAAGCTAGTTGAAAAATGATGACTTCAGCTAGTAATAAAGTATATTTATTATTTCTTCCTACTGTCATAAAAAATATGAATAATAAATATTTACCAGTCACTTAGAAAATGTTCTCTGTATACCTTATGGGATGAAACTTGTCTTTGTTCTCAACAGGTCAGGTTCCTCTAACAGGAACCTAAAAATACTTACATTTATATTATAATACACTCTGTAGGTCTAAATATTAATCAACAATTAATCAAAACTGTTACAATATGTTCTGCTCAGATCACATTGAGCTAAATAAGATCAAATCTGCTGACTTGTGTTGTGAAATGAGACGTTTTCCTGTTTATCTTCTGTTAATAAATCCATAACACAAACAGCTTTTCTGACATTATTTAAAACATTAGATAAATTATATAAACTGTAAAATATTAACAATAATTGTGTTAATATTATTATTAATAGTTTTAATTATTCCTACATCATGAGTCCTTTTTCCTGCTCTGTTGTCAACATGTACAGTAATGGGAAATCCAGAGTCTTGACAGTTTAGCGTTAGCCTTTAGCTTCTACAGCCGATCACACGGTCACCTGGTTTCTGAGCACTCCAGTTGTTATATATACAGCATATACCTCCATGTAAGCAAATTATTGCTTAGCTTGATGTAGGCTCATAAGACAAAGAATGGCATAAACATATAGAAAGTGACACAACACTAAACACATCAACATTTTAGTAAATGTGACCGCAAAGATGTGCAACACTAAGCAAAATAAAGAAAAATTKTATGACCCATACCTGCTGTCATTAAGAACACAAATAATGCAGTATAGTAATATATGAAAATAAATAATAAACACAAATGTCATACATCTATATAATAAACAAAAATGAAACTACATCTTTAAACATCCATGTCAGTTTTTACTTTTGAACTAAGACTATCAATCATCTCTTTGTTAACTGCCAGTAAATAACAAAATAATGTTATAAATTCTAGATTTATTTTGAACCAAAGTAGAAACAATAATAAAATAAAAAATATTTTGGAGTATGAAGAGTACTTCTGAAATATCTGTGAACCTGTCCTGATACCTGTCTGGTTTCTCAACAACAACAACATGTGATCCTGTCATGTGATTTAACCTCCATCTTTCTGTGGTTAATTCTCYGAGACTCTGTTACAAATTATGTCAAAAGTAGAGACTTCAAACTATACACCAGTTTTTAAAGACTGTTCCCCTTCAAGAATAATAGTCATAATTTCTCCTTACCTGAGGAAAGTCTGCATCATGATCCCTGCTGCTGTAGGCTATCAGGTCTGTCTCCTCCCTGACCTTGTTCTTTGTAACTGTGGTAATGAAGATTTATTTTAAATATGTGGAAAGTAGCCAGCATGACTTCTGCACAGAAATGAAAGACGACTGGGTTTATCTAGCATTAACTAACTAGCAAGGGRTGTAACAGGTAACAACAACTAATCATGTTAACTAGTTAAACATTATATAATGTGTAACTCATCATTTAGCTAACATTATCTGCCTCCAACAGCATGACTCAACTTACATGGTTTGTTTGGTAAAAACTGTGCCAAGTTTTAGTTGCTCTTTACACCGTGAGGCTCTGCTCAGCACAGCAGCTCCTATCAGTCATCTTCATCTGCAGGAGTAGCTTGCGCACGCTTATGGTGCGTTCAAAGACGGCTGAGAAAAACGCATTACCACATGTTAATAATGGATAAAACAGCTGTTACGGCTGAGAAAAGTGTGGGGACAGAGAGCGCAGATGCAGGAAGTGCGGGGAGACATGTCCATGCATATCCGGCATCCATATGTCCGTGCCTTCACTGCCCAGGGCCCTTTGGAGACCATGGGCCCCTGGGCAATTGCCCAATTGCCCATATGGTTAATCCAGCCTTGCCACAGCCGAAGCATCCAAACCAATAAGTCAGGTGATGGGGCACATGACCCTCTATGAACAATAAAGCTAATCAAGCCTATTGTTAGTCAATGGCCCTCTTTTGCATGTGACTAACCTGTTTGTCCAGGTGGAGGCAGTGCTTATAATGCTGAGTTCACCTGAAACTCATCAGACTGAAGAAGAGGAGGGACTAAATGCTTCACTAAAGAAGAACCCATCCAGAGGACCTACATATTTTTTTTCTTTTGATATTAAACATGTTTACAGGATCTAATTTAGCACAACCTTATAATTAGCCTTGGAAATTATTTTTTGTAAATTTTCTCCAAATTGACCAGTAATCCAGATGTATTCTCTTAGCGCATGCGCAAATGAGCTGACAGTAAAGATAGTCATTGTGTCCTTGGGCAAGACACTTCACTCGCCTTTTCTGCAGGTGGTGGTCAGAGGGTCTGGTGGCACCAGTGATTTGCAGCTTTGCCTCTGTCACTCTGCACCAAGGTAACTGTGGCTACACTGTAGCTTACCACCATCAGTGTGTGAATGACTGTAGTGTGTTAGGGCTTTGGAGTCCTTGGACCTTATAAAGCACAATACAAGTTCAGACCATTTACCATTTAGCCTTTTCTGGCTCAGTTTTGACTTGTGTGTGATTAACCATATATTGAGTACTGGACAGACAATGACAAAGTCTTTTATTGTTGGCTGTTGCCAAAAAATGGTACCAGAGGAGTTTGGAGCAGCCTTGCTATGACAATCCCACTTAGATAAAAAACACTCAAATATATAAAATTACTAAGACCACTTAGGTCACACTACAATACAGAATCAGAAAATGGTACAATTCAAGTATGATTTTAATACACTTTTGTTCTAACGGAGGAAAGGAGGGACTGGCATCTCCCTCTACAGAAAATCAGGATGGAAAGGCATATTTATATTTCCTTTAAACCCAATAATAGTAAATACAAAATACATTTTATTTTCAGAAACATCTTCAGTTAAAAAAGAACTGAACATTTTAGAGGACCTTCTGCTCACAGTTCCTCAAAGACCTACAGACTGCCTTGACCTCATTATAGGACAAAGTGCTGTGATTTTTTTTTACCTCATATTTGCATGCTGCTGATTTTCTTTTGAAGTCAAAATGGGGAAGTGTCTGATTATGTCTCAGTCAAACACATCCATTGTCCTGCAATCAATGCTCTGATTGCAGCACAGACAGAAGATGTGCTTGGTAGTTTTAATAATGAAGAACTATTCATCAGTTGTACACGGCAGCAAACCCAACATTTCTTCATGCCCAGTCTCCTTCTGATCAGGACGGCAACATTTTAAAAGCACCAACTGTCTGTCTGTGTTATTGCGAAATCAAACTAAGTGAACATCTGAAAAATGTAAATTTCTGGCACAAGCATAATATTTAGATTTTTATTTTGGTGGTTGACTTTTTTTTGCACAGAGTATGACAGCCTGTTTAATATTTGCCACATCTAATAGAAGCTGATACACCAAGGCGACATAAGAAAATGCATTTTACAATGATTTTTTAATGATTTAATGATTTATTTCATAAATGAGAAAAACAAAAGAAACAAACAAGCATAAATAATTAAATAAATAAACCAAAACAAAGTAAAACAACTATCCAAATAGATAAAAAACAGAAAAGTCAACATAACTAGTTCAAAATGAAGTATAGGAAGATGCAAATGCTTATTTAATCTTACTCCTTTACTTGCACAAAAAAATACCAATTGCCAACCAATGCTGCCCCCTGATCATACATATTACACTAAATGTGTTCTTTTATACAAAAGAACATCTATAACATAAATAAATAATGAACAAATGATCTGCGAAGACACCTAGTAAACGTCAAAGCCCCTCAACCCCCTTGTGAAAAAGAAAAAAAATTATAGGTCTTCTGGACGGGTTCTTCTCTAATGAAACGTTTCGTCTCTCCTCCAAGAGACTTCTTCAGTCTGAGAG